TCTTGGACATTCTTCGGGGCCTCTTGCGGCCCTCTTGGCCCGTCTCGGGGCCTTCTTCGCGGAAAAAGCCATGCGACAAGCCGCGACGGGCCCAAGGAAGCATGCCGGGAGCCGCGGGGGGCACGCCCAGAGCCCAAGAAGATTGCAGAGCCAGGGGTCCTGGCCCCCAAGGGACCCTCAGGATTGAAGATTGAGGCTCAGGAGTTGAGCAAGGGACCCGGGGACACTATCTTCCCTCCCCTCCCTCGCGCTCCCCCCACCACCACGGCTGACCCGACCCCCGGGCCTGGCGCTTCGCCGACGGCAGCCGCCGCCGGTCTTCGCATTCATGAAATGACGGGCTACGTGCCACTGGCACACCGACATAGACAAGGCCACGGGCTACGGCCCAGCACGCCCACCTCTGTTTCACCCTCCACCTGGGGACACCCCACTTCGTGCCACAGGGGCACGGTGGCGGCTGTCTTCGAGATTCCATTTCGGAAGCGCCGATCTGACGTCGTTGAGTGCTTATTTAGCGTCGACTAGCGTCGATTAGGGCGCATAGGTGCGTCGCCCGCGGCAGCCCGCACAGGGCGCGCCCCTGCCCACGCCGCACCTGACCTGACCTGACCTGACCTGACCTGACTTAGCGTGGACTAGCTTCGGCCAGCGTCGGTGAGCGTCGGTTCGCGAGAGCCATCCAGATGGCATATGGGGTCTCCCATGAGTTGCCACAGAATGGGCGGCGAGCGTGGAAACGGTGTTCCATACCGACCCTGGGCTCAATGGACCTCGAAGCGACTGTCGCCCGGATCTGAGGGTCCAGTTTGGAGAACGAAATCGGCATGCTCCCAGAAGACCAATCAATATTTGGGGCCTGTGTCAGGTACCGTTCTCATGTTCTAGCCACCTTGGATGCCGATACACACATTCGTATGTATGTATGTATGTATGTATGTATGTATGTATGTATACATATATATATAGAGATACGTATATATATATAGATCAAAGTGAGGGGCCGAACGGTCATTCATTGTCCATGGGTGCGTGGCTTAAGTGCGGATCCGTGGTGAGGATTGTGCTCGTTGCGTTGTTGTTGCTGTTGTTGTGGTTGTTGCTGCTGTTGTTGTTGGTGGTGTTGATATTGTTGTTGCTTTGTTGTTAGTGTTGTTGTTGGTGGTGTTGTTGTTGTGGTTGTTGTTGTTGGTGGTGTTGTTGTTGCTGCTGCTGTTGCTGTTGTCGTTGGTGTTGTTGCTGGTGCTGTTGTTGTTGTTGCTGTTGTTGGTGGTGATGTTGTTGTTGTTGTTGTTGTTGCTGTTGTTGTTGTTGTTGTTATTAGTATTGCTGTTGCTGTTCTTGTTGTTGTTGCTGTTGTTGTTGTGGCTGTGGTTGCTGTTGTTGCTGTTGCTGCGACCCACCCGCGACCCACCCCGCGACCCGTTCGCGACCAACCCGCGACCAACCCGCGACCCACCCACATCGTTTTAACAAAAACCAGCGCCTGCGTCGGGCTCGTTGTATAGCTTGAAAATGTTGCGCTTGCGGCGGGCTTTTCCAGAGCCTTGCAGACTGCAGACATCCCCGCCGCCCCTTCACTCTCATCCGCAACTGCGGGATGCTACGTATATGTGTACAAGATGTTACTGGCTCGCTTCGCTTCGCCTTTTGCTATGTTGGTCGTTCGGCGCCAGCGAGGCGCGCCGCAACTAGTGGTCGCCAGCAACGCGGTGTGTTTCGGCAACGGGGCCCGTGGGGTGCACAGGGCTGATAGGACACATGGGCTCCTCTGGGTCAGAGGGGCTTTCCGCCGCCACTGGGGCCCAAAAACTCGGAGCGCGAATGTGGAAGAGGGGAACTTCGGACAGCGCGGCTCCTGGGGATTATGAGCTTCGGAGAGCCCGCAGCCGTACTTGAGCCCAGAGGGTTCCTCGGGTTGATGAGCTCATTGGGCGTGAAGGCTCGGAGGGCCCGTGGCTTCACAGAAGCCACTTGCCCTCGGGCCCAAGGGACGGGTCGGATCATAGGGATTGTGTGAGGTTCGTGGAACTCGTAACATGATTGTGCGAATTGGGCCCAGGAGGCTCAGAAGGTCCAGCACGGGTCGTCGGGGTCGTAAAGCTCATAAGGCAGAAGGGGCTCATAGGGCTCATAGGGCTCTTGAGATTCTTCGGGGTCGCGCGGGCCGTGGGGCCCATGAAGCTGATAGGGTTCACACTAGTCGTCGGTCGGGCTAAGGGTCGCAGGGGCCATGCACTGATAAAGATACTGGAGCTCGTAGGGATTAGAAGGCGTATGAGGGCGTGAGGAGCATAGGGTCGTACGGCGCATTGGGCTCGTGAGCGGAAGTGTTGCAGAGGGCTCGTAGGAGTCATAGGGCAGATGGGGCCGATGGGGTTCTGAGGGTTCGTAGCGCTGACAAAGGTCATAGTGTTCGCAAGGCTCGAAGGGCTCGCATGCTCGTCCGGTTCACAGGTGTCGTAGGGTTCAGAAGGTCATTGGGCTCATGGGCCCGTAAAGCCCATGAGCCTCAGAGGGCTTTGGGGATAGGCGTCTCGGGGGCCTCTCTGGAGGGCGCATAGGGATCGTAGGCCTCATAGGCCTCATCGTGTTCGAACAGTTCATAGCGCCATCTGAACCCGTCTTGAGGGGCCTTGTAGGAAGTTTCGCGACGTTTTTGGACCGTCTCGGGGCCTCCTGGAAAGCCAGTTGCGCCGCTCGTACTGTCTGGGGGGGCGAGATCGCGCGCTCAAGACTTGGGAGCGTCTTAGTGTTTGAATTTCGGCATGTGATTGACAACACCTACCACGCAACCTCTTTAAAATTAACGAGTGTGGCCTCTCAGGGCCTTCGTGGGGATCCTTTTGGGGCTCTTTTGGACCGTCTGGCGGCCTTACTGGGCCGTCCCAGGGCCCTCTTGAGCCGTCTTGGGGGGATTGGGCCGTTCTGGAGTTTTCTTGGAGCCTTTTGGGCCCTTAGGGGGTCACCTGTCGCCTTTTTGGGGCTCTCTTGGCGGCCGTTGAAGGCCCTCTGGGGCCCGTCTTGTGTCGTCTTGGAAGCTTTTGGACCGTCTTGGGGCCCGTTGGGGGGAGTTGTCGGCCGTCCTGGGACGATTTGTGGGATCTCGTGAGCCGTCGTGGACGCCGTGGGGACCAAAGAAGCGAATCTGTTGAAACACATAAGCTGGTTTTTGCCTCGGGTCTACTCGGTGACCTCTTGAGACGTCTTAGGGGCCTTTTGGGTCATCTTGAACCCACCTTGGGTCCCCTTTGAGTGCTCATGGGCCGTTCTGGAGCGGCCTTGGCCCTTTCGGGGCTCCGCTGGGCCGTCCTGGAAACGATCCCGGGTCCTCTCGGGCGGCGTAGAATGGCCCGGAGGGTTCCCGAAACCAAAAACTAGAATTTCACGTTTGTGGGAGCGCCCATGGCCGAATTTATGTACGGGGGGGTATCTTGTGAATATTCAAAAAGGAATATGGACACATTCGGGGTGGATATGTTTATACGGACAACGCGGCCGTTGCATTGGGCGCAGCAGAAGGCCAGAGAAAGGACAGATCCGTTTAGGAAGGCGGAGGGAAACGCAAGAAGACGGGGTCGTCTGCGCAGTCATTGGCTCGTAAGCTTCCCGCGCAAGGTCGCGCGTAAGCGCCCTCGTTTCCAGTGGAGCGTGCCGCGCTGGCGGCCCGCGCAAGCCAGGGCGTATGGTCGCCAGGTCCGATCGCGTAAGACAACTTTCTTCTTTTCGTCGCTCACGTGGCACTTCGAAGGTCCAGCCTTGGGGTCACTCGGAGGCGTGCAGCTTGCTTCGGCGAGGACGATGGAGGAGCATCCTGGGTCATCGAGCACCAGAACAAGCACGCACGACGACCGCACGGACGACGACGACGACGACGCCGACGCCGACGCCGACGCCGACGCCGACGCCGACGCCGACGCCGACGACGACGACGACGACGCCGACGCCGACGCCGACGCCGACGCCGACGCCGACGACGACGACGACGACGACGACGACGACGACGACGACGACGACGGGGCATGGGCGTCCGAGCGGTGGCAGACAGCGCGCCCTGCGCGTCCACGCCCTCCGCGGGCCACCGCCCTGGCATCGCTCGGACGTGTGCATGGTTTCCTCGGCGAGGGCCACCAAGGAGCACCTAGGACCGTCGAGCAGCAAGAAAAAGAACGCGCACGAAACCGTGAAAAAAAATGCACGGGACATGGACGTCCGAGCGGTTCTGCACGACCCACCAGGGGGTCCAGGTGAAAGGGGGGTGGTGCAATGGATCTGGTGCGATCGATTCGCAGGGTTGCAACAGATTTGGGGCGTGCAGCACACTCTGGTGCGCAGATGTCTGGCTGTATTGTCGCGTGCAACACGGTAGATGCAGTACAATACAGGACGTTCCTCCGTCGCGAAACGCACATCTGCAGTACACTTGCCCCGAACCTCTTGCACCGCCCCGTTTCAGCTGGACCCCTCCTTGGGTTAAGCGAAGCGATGCAGGACGTTTCTCCGTCGCAATACGCACATCTGCAATACCACTTGCCCCACACCTCTTGCACCGTCCCGTTTCAGCTGGACCCCTTCTTGGGTGAACCGAAGCGATGCAGGACGTTTCTCCGTCGCAATACGCACATCTGCAGTACCACTCTTGCCCCACACCTCTTGCACCGTCCCGTTTCAGCCGGACCCCTTCTTGGGTCAACCGAAGCGATGGCAAGCAGCGCGCCCTGCGCGCCCACGCCCTCCGCGGGCCGCCACCGCCGCAGGAGGACGAGGACGACGAGGACGAGGACGAGGACGAGGGCGAGGAGGAGGACAAGAAGGAGGAGAACGAGGAGGAGGAGGAGGACAAGGAGGAGGAGGACAAGGAGGAGGAGGAGGACGAGGAGGACGAGGACGACGACGACGACGACGACGACGACGACGACGACGACGAGGACGAGGACGAGGACGAGGACGAACAAAACGAGGACGAGGACGAGGCCGAGGCCCCCCCCCGCCAGCGGCAGGCTCCGGAGGCCGCGGCCCGCGTCGAGGAGCGCGGCGGGCTGCCTCCCGGCGCGGCGGGGCGCCCAGGGCGCGCGCGCGCAGGGGGGGGCCGTGCGCGCCCCGCGGCTGGCGCCTGCCGGGAGCGCAGGAGGGACGCGCCGTTGATCTTTAAGTCGGGCCTGCGCCTCCACAGGAGGAGTGTTGAAGAATAGTGAAAGAATAGTCTGGGGGACGATTCTGGACTATGTCGGGCCTGTGCCTCCACAGGAGGAAGATTTAAGAATAGTGAAGGAATAGTCAGGGGGACGAGTCTTGACTATGCCTGGCCACCATTCTCCAGCATTGGTTATGTTCTTTCCTCTCCAACATCCGCCTGGTGGGGGACAGGCCCGACTGAAGAATAATACGAGGGGGAGGAGGGTTCCACACCTCGAAGAAGAAAACATCGGCATTAAAACATAGCTCTCGACGGTCTGCGCGGATTTCTTGAGCCTGCGCTGGGGCGCCCTGGCGGCGCCTTTGGCGCCGCCCCTGGCGCGCTCCGCGCGCCAGGGAGGGGTGTCCAACGCAAATCCCAGAAATCCGCGCGGACCGTCGAAAGTGTATGTTTATGTCGTCCGCTACCCTTGCCCAAGTTTCGCCTTGTTGGGCCTTCTGGGAGGCCCTCGTCGCCACCGCTGGGGTCGCCTCGAGATTCCGATCAGAACGCACCCCGGGAGAGGTCGGGGGAGTAGCGGTATCGGTACCTTTTGGTTCCCCCATTTAAGTCGGGCATGTCCCCCTACAGGAAAAGTATGCATCTGAGCTTCCCAGATGGGGTCCGAGTAGATGGGGTCGGAGGATCGCGCCGCATCGCCGATGCATCAGCGATGCGGCTCGCTGTGGATCCCGATGTTCCCCATGCCGACGTCGCCGATGCATCGGCGACGTTGCCGATGCATCTGCGATGCGGCGCGATCCTCCGACCCCATCTACTCGGACACCATCTAAGAGGCCTCTATCTGCCGCTGGCGCCTGTCGGGAGCGAAAGAAGGACGTACAGTTAAGTCGGGCATGTCCCTCGACAGAAAGATTATGCACGAATAGTCAAAGAAAAGTATGGTGACGATGTTTCGTGCTCCTTGTACAATCGTCTACGATTTGTTTACCATGTCTCGTTTTTCTTCCAAGATCCGCCTCTAGGAGGACGTGCTCGACCTAAACGAACAGTCGGACCGAGGAGTAAGATCGAGGTCGGTTCGGGGATGGTACCCTACTGTTCTTCGTGTGTGTGTGTGTTGAATGTTCTGGTGCATCCTGGTGAGGGCACCCTGGGATGTTCTGCGTGTTTGGGCTGGCGGAGGGCCTCACAGTCTTGAAGGCTGCTCCGCTGTCTGACGTCGACTACCCTGACCTTTGGTGCGGGCCCACGGGGGCCCCCCGATCGCCGAACGCTAGGCGGCAGTGGCGTCTTGCGCTCTTCTGTTTGGCCCCCTCGCGGCCCCAAAACTATCCGCGCACCAAAGGTCGCTCTTGCCCAGGGTCACTCTTGCGTGTGGCCGATCAGGTCTGGCTGCACACGTGCATGAACCCACGTTGGCTTCGAGAGCACGCGCTGCGAGAGCCTTCGTATCGCGCGGCTGGCCTCGCGGACTGGGGTCGGCGGCGAGCGAGGGGGGGGGGGGGAAGGAGAAGGGGGCGGGGGCTTCTCGGAAGGCTCGGGAGGCCTCCGGCCTTCTGAGAAGTTTGCTAAGCCTTCCCCGAAGTGGACGGTTTCCCCCGGGGCCGTAGGCGACCCCCGAGGAGGGAAGGAGGAGGAGGAGGAGGAGGAGGAGGAGGAGGAGGAGGAGGAGGAGGAGGAGTAGAGAGAAGGAGGAGGACGGGTCGCCTAAGCCCTTCAGAGAAATCCTCCACCCCGAAGCTCGAAGACGCGGAAAACTCAGAAGGCGCGCGGGTTGTTCTGAGAAGTCCCGCCGCCTTCTGGGAAGGCCGTCTCCCTCTCATGTCCCCCCTCGCTCGCCGCCAATGGGGGGCCGTGCTCATTCCGTGGGTGGGCGCGTGCGTTTTTTGTGGGCTCCCTAGTTTGTCCACACGGCCCTCCCGGTCAAAACACTCGATTAGGAGATTGCAGACCCAGGCTATGATTCGGCGGGGAGCGAGGGGGGGAAGTCAGAAGGAGAAGGCCTTCTCAGAAGGCGGCGGGGCTTCTCAGAAGAGCCCGCGCGCCTTCTGAGGAGTTTTCCGAGTCTTCGGGGAAGGCTTAGCAAACTCCTCAGAAGGCCCGAGGACTTCCGATCCTTCTGAGAAGGCCCGTCCCTTCTCCTTTCCCCCCCTTCGCTCGCCGCCAAATCATGGGTCCTTTGCGCAGAGGGGGGTCTCAAACATGTGCGCGGCAGCTCGTGCCATCGTGCGTGCTGGACGCGGGCAGGAGGCGCTGCACTCTGCCTCGCTAGCCCCTGAGAGCGGCCACGCCCCCCTTGAGCCACTGGAGGAGCAATTTACAAAGCTTGCGACCCCACCACGAACAAAAGCCTTGCTTCAAGTCGGGCATGTCCCTCACACAGGAGGAATATGCAAAGATGGTCACAAATAGTCAGGGGAAGATGTTTGCATTGCTTTGGGAGACATTCTGGAGTTTGTGTTATAACTAGTCATCATTTCTTTCCTCCGAAATCCGCCTGCAGGGGGGACATGCCCGACCTGAGCCTTGTGCCTGGAACCAGCGACTCCGGCCCGCCCACCCCCGCCCCCGGCCCCCAGCCCCAGGGGGCCCCGAGGAAGGGCGCTCGGCGGCCGCCCCCCGCCGGCCTCGGAAGGCCGGCAGGGGGGATCGCTTGGCCTCTTTGGGTTCGCCGAGCGCGCTCCACGACTCGCAAAGTGCTTACTGAAAACGACGCGAAGATCGGGACAAAATCGGATCGGGATAACTCGAAATCTCTGAGAATCGGCGGGTTTGGAGGATGTATTGGGCGCCGCGGTCGCTCCAGAGCGTTCCGGAACGCTCTGAGAGCGCTCCGGAACGCTCTGAGAGGTACCTACTCGCGAACGTCCCAAAACACATGTCTGCTTTGATGTGCAGTCGGGGCCCTGAAGGAGGAACCCTTTTCGTTGGGGAGGGGCTCCGCGTTCCTGAAGTGTTTCGCAGCTTGCCTTAGGTGTTCCTTATGTCTTCGATGGGGAATCGAAGTTCAACTTATGGTAAAAAGGAGCCTCGTTCCTTATTTCGGGTTCCTTAGGTCAACGCCCCGACTGCATTCTATCGTAGATCACCTGTGGCGGATCCAGGCCATTTGCGAGTAGCTGCTTTGCGAGTAGCTGCTTTGCTAGTAGTGGAACGCGCTCGTCTATGGGTGGGGCCGGAGCACAGTGGAGACCCGTGCCAAGAAGCACCCTGCTTGCCTCAAGGGTGCCCCAGGTTTCTTGGATTTCCATGGTTTTGCCATGGAAAGCGTGACGTTCCCACACCAGAAATCCATGGACGTCCCGGGGTCTCCGGGTCGGGTTTCTCATGGAAGGTGCTTCTTGTGGACTGGCCTCCACTGTACGGTCCAGAACTTTTGCATGGCGTGTCGCGGCGCTTGCCCCACCGGCACGCCATGCCATGCGAGCGGACAGCGTGTCGCTCCGCTCCGCGTTGGGCGGGAGGCCGGGAGAAAGGCTTGGGGCGTGGACGCTGGGCTTCTGCTGCGGGCGTTTATCTGGGTCCCTGGCTGGACGATGCATTGGGGATGCGGCTCGATGTGGAGCCCGACATTCTCCACGCCGACGGCGCCGATGCATCGCCGACGTCGCCACCGCATCGCCGATGCATCGGCGATGGATTGGCGGTGCAGCGCGATTTCCCGACCCCATCTGCTCGGACCCTTGTTTTAAGTCGGGCCTGTCCCTCTACAGGGGGAATATCCCAAATTGGTCCAAAAAAATCGGGGGACGATTCGTTGATTATTTGTTGATCATCTTCGGGTATGAGTTTTTCGTACTTTTTATTTTTCGTCGAGAATCTGCCTGCAGGGGACATGCCCGACCTGACCCTTGCTGGGAGGCTTCCAGTTTAGGCCTAGGGCGAGGCACACCAGCACCGGATCGCCCGTCGATCGCCCATCGGGGCCCGATGGCATCCTCGACCAGCTTGCGAAGAAAAGCGCACGAAATCGAAAGGTGCACAGGGAATGGACGTCCGAGTGATGGCGAGTGCCCAGGGCCGCGCGGATTGGCTCTCGGAGGCCCCCATCGCCGATCTATCGACGACGTGTCGCCCATCCGAGGTCGCCGTCTCCCCCTCTGGGCTGCTCCCCCCTGACGTTGCCCCTCACCCCCGCCTCCCCGCAGATCCGGGCGTCGTGAAGAAATCCCACGTCGGGTGTCCTCGGCCTCGTCCCCGGGGTCGCTCTGGCTCGGGGGAGGCCGCTGCATGATGGGGTCGGGAGTTCCCGTCGTGACGTCACGGGGCTCGTCCACGACGGATCTCGGGACCGTTCCGAGAGAGTTGCGTGCTGTTCGAGGCTGGCGTCTGCTTCACAAGATTACCCCGGCAAAGTATTTTGATCGCAGCAGAGATGAAGAGACGGGTCGAGGAGTAGGAGGTCGGCCATACAGTCGGGGCCCTGAAGAAGGAACCCTTTTCGTTGGGGAGGGGCTCCGCGTTCCTGAAGTGTTTCACAGCTTGCCTCGGGCTTTCCTTATGTTCTCGGCAGGAAATCGACGGTTCACTTGTGGAAAAAAGGGGCCTCGTTCCTTATTTAGGGTTCCTTAGGTCAACGCCCCGACTGTAGGGGACGGGCGAGATCAATAGTGTACACCTTAGTGCAGTTTTGCTCCCGGCTCGCGGCCGTCCAGGCCAACAATGCAGTCGGCCTGGAGGCGAGGGCACTGTCCGTGTGAGCAAATTGTGATGATAGCTCAGGCGAAAGGGATGCCCTTGGCATCGCTCGGACGTGTGCAGTTTTTTTTTCTGCGAGGACCATCGAGGAGCATCTTTGATCATTTAGCGAAAAACACACGCACGAAATCGAAGAACGCACGGGGAATGGACATCCGAGCGATGGCGATTGCCAGACCGGAGGGAAGCCAGGCGCTGTCGGGTTCCCCGTCCCCCTCGTGGGACTCTTCTGTGGTTTCTTTACGTCCACGAGAACCCTCTCAGCGACGGGCTGAGGGATCGTGGCCGTCTGGACGCGAGCACGATCCCGAAATACATTCCGAGGAAGGCCCATGAGAAACGGCTGCTGGACAGGACCAGGCTTTCTCGGGCCCCCAGTCCCCCCTTTGTGTCGTCTCACTCTACTGTGGCCGTCCATGAGAGCCTTGTAGCTAAACGGTCTTAAGGAACATTCGGGTCCGCTGGGCTGCCCGCCGCGGCTCAACAGAGGCACGCAGTTGTCTCAGGCTTGGTCTTCCTTGTTGGACATGTTCTTGCTCCTGTCGGTGATGGTGGTGGTGCTGCTAATTTTGCTGCTGCTGCGCCGCCTGCTTTTGCTGCCGAAAGCCTTGCTGCAGCTGCTAATCATTTGTGCCCCTCCGGGCCCCAGGAGGGGGCAGGGCATCCAAAGAGAATGTCTAGATCCGCCTCGATGGTGCATGATATCCCACGATTGTTGTTTTGTCCTCTGGAATTCCGTCCAGTCCTGTGGGTGGCGGCAAACATGTTGGATGATCCTGATTCCAACTGACCCTACCAGATGGAAATCCACGTCTGCTTGTTTCGCCACTCGCGCTCCCCTTCGCAGTCACTTTCTGTTTGTGTTGGAGAGCTTCCTCGCTTGGGCTTAGGGGAGGGCCTGATTGCCTGGCGGTGGCAGGAGGAGGGAGCTGGAGCAGGACGGATCGCTCCTCCTCATTCTCTTCCTCCCTCCTCTTGCTCCCTCCTCTCTCCTCCATTCCCCATCCTGCTGGGCTGCAGCGAGGAGGCTGCATGACCGCGCTACAGGTAGGAGGGAGCGCGATTCTCGTGCGCTTGCCTTGGGAACATACGGCGGCGGGTTGAGCCGGGGGGGGGGCCCGAACAGTCAGCGCCGTCGAACAAGACCAGGGGGACTCCCCACCCCCCTCCCCCCCCTCCCCGAACCCCCCCCCGGCACCAGCGCTGGCGCCGGCCTCGTCGTCGTCATCGTCGTCGTCTTGGCCGTCGTCGTCGCCGCCGTCGTCGTCGTCGTCGTCGCCAACGCCGTCGTCGCCGCCGTCGTCGCGGTGGTCGCCGTCGTTGCCACTGTCGTCGTCGTATTTGTCGCCGTCGTCGTCGCAGTCGCCACCGTCGTCGTCGTCGTCGTCACCGTCGTCGCCGTCGCCGTCGTCGTCGTCGCCGTCGTCGTCATCGTGCTCGTCTTCGTCGTCGTCGTCGTCGCCGCCGTCGGTCGCCGTCGTCGTCGTCGCCGCCATCCCCGTCGTCGCCGCCGTCATCGCCGTCGTCTTCGACGTCGTCGTCGTCGTCGTGATCGTCGTGCTCGTCGTCGTCGTCGCCGTATTCGTCGCCGCCGTCGTCATCGTCATCGCTGTCGTCGTCGTCGTTCTCGTCGTCGTCGTCATCGTCATCGTCGTCGCAGCCGTCGTCGTCGTCGCCATCGTTGTCGCCGTCGTCGTCATCGTCGCCGTGGTCGTCGTCATTGTCGCCGTCGTCGTCGTCGCCGTCGTCGTCGTCGTCGTCGTCGTCAACGGCGTCGTCGTCGTCGCCGCCGCCGTCCCCGTCGTCGCCGTCGTCGTCTTCGTCGCCGCCGCCGTCGTCGTCGCCGTCGTCGTCCTCGTGCTCGTCGTTGCCGTCGTCGTCGTCGTCGCTGTTGGTCGTCGTCGTCGTGGTCGCCGCCGTCCCCGTCGTCGTCGCCGTCGTTGCCGTCGACGTCGACGCCGTCCTCGTGCTCGTCTTCGTCCTCGTGCTTGTCGTCGCCGTCGTCGACGTCGCCGTCGTCGTCGTCGTCGTCTTCGTCGTCGTCGTCGCCATGGTCCTCGCCATCGTGACCGTCGTCGTCGTCTTCATTTTCGTCGTCGCCGTCGTCGTCGCCGTCGTCGTCCACAGCGTCGCCGTCGTCGTCGTCTTCATCGTCGTCGTGCTCGTCGTCGCCGTCGTCGTCGTCGTCGCCGCCGTTGGTCGTCGTCGTTTTCGTCTTCGTCGCCGTCGTCGCCGTCGTCGTCTTCGTCTTCGTCGTCGTCACCGTCGTCGCCGTGCTGTCGTCGTCGTTGTGCTCCTCTTCTTTGTCGTTGTCGCAATCGTCGTCGATCGACGTCGGCGTCGTCGTCGCCGCCGTCGTCGTCGTCGTCGTCGTCGTCTGCGTCGCCGTCGTCGTCGTCTTCGTCGTCGCCGCTGTCCCCGTCGTCGTCGCCGCTGTCCCCGTCGTCGTCGTCGCCGTATTCGTCGCCGTCGCCGATGTCGCCGTCGTCGTCGTCGCCGTCGTCGTCTGCGTCGCCGTCGTCGGCGTCGTCGTCGTCGCCGCTGTCCCCGTCGTCGTCGCCGCTGTCCCCGTCGTCGTCGTCGCCGTATTCGTCGCCGTCGTCGCCGTCGCCGTCGTCGCCGCCGTCGTCGTCCTCGTGCTCGTCGTTGTCGTCATCGCCGTCGTCGTCGCCGCCGTTTGTCGTCGTTGTCGCTTTCGCCGCCGTCGCCGCCATCGTTGTCGTCGTCGCCGTTGTCGTCGTCGTCGTCGTCGTTGTCGTCCTCGTGCTCGTCGTCGCCGTCGTCATCGCCGTCGTCGTCGTCGTCGTTGCCATCGTCGTCGCAGTCGTCGCCGTCGTCGTCGTCGTGGTCGACATCGTCGTCGTCGTCGCCGTCGTCACCGCCGTTGGTCGTCGTCGTCGCTGTCGTCGTCCTCGTGCTCGTCGTCGCCGTCCTCGTCGTCGCTGCCGTCGGTCGTCGTCGTCGCCGCCGTCGCCGCCGTCCTCGTCGCCGCCGTCGTCGTCGTCGCCGTCGTCGTCGTTGTCGTCGTCCTCGTGCTCGTCGTCGTCGTTGTCGTCATCGCCGTCGTTGTCGTCTTCGTATTCGTCGCCGCCGCCGTCGTCGTGCTCGTCGTCTTCGTTGTCGCCGTCGCCGTCGTCGTCGTCTCCGTCATCGTCGTCGCCGTCGTCGCCGTTGCCGCCATGCGTCGCCGTCGTCGTCTTCATGGCCGGCGTCGCTAGCGTCGCCGTCGTCGTGGTCGTGCTGTCGTGCTCGTCGTCGTCGTCGTCCTCGTTGTCGTCGTCTTCGTCGCCGTCGTCGTCGTCGCCGTCGTCGTCGTCTTCGTCGTTGTCGCCGTCGTCGTCGTGCTGTCGTCGTCGTTGTGCTTCTCGCCGTCGTCGTCATCGTCGCCGTCGTCGTTGCCGCCGTCGTCGTCGTCTTCGTCGCCGTCGTCGTCGCCGTCAACGTCGCCGTCGTCGTCGTGGCCGTCGTCGTCCTCGTCGCCGTGGGGGATTGGACCCCTCCCCCTTGAATCCAGGGTGGAGGGAGGATGGAGCCTGGTTCCGAGCCCCCCCCCCCGTCAAGCGCCTACAGAACGCGCTCTGTCAGAGGCAGGTACGCGTGGTTCCGGCACGGGGGCCGATAGAGCATCGAAGATTGAAGTTTCCAGGCGTTTCTGCCCCTGAGACCTCTGGGGATCTCCAGAGACTTCTGGGGCCCTCTGGAGGCCTCTGGACGTCTAGAAGGGGCCTCCTTCCCAGTCGAGGGCCAGATTTCCGTCGGAATGGTTCTTTTTCCGCGTGGTGGGCACCAGGTGTCGTAGCAGAATGGAGGGGACCATGTTCCTGCGCCGCACCGCGATACGGGAAGCTGAGAGGTATCCCAGCGGGGGGCAGGAGGAGGAGGAGAAGGAGGAGGAGGAGGAGGAGGAGGAAGAGGTGGAGGAGGAGGCTGAGGAGATGGAACTCGGAACTCGGAACTCGGGGATTCACGAAAGACCGTCACTCAGGACGGCACTGCCGGGGGTGTGCAAGACACAGGTAGTCCTGCAGACCAAGAAGGCCCTTAGAAGGGCCAAACATCAAAATGGAGGAGGTGGAGGAGGAGGAGGAAGCGGAGGGCGCGGTCGCATTCTTCTCGTCTTCGATCGACGCTTGTAGACGGATGCACCGCGCCCCGCCTCCCTCGCTCCTGGACCTGTCCCAGAGCGCGTGCTGACCAGGACGCCGAGGCGAATCTGGCCGTGTGGCGACAGGGGGCCCTCCGAGGAGGCCCCAGAAAGAGGAAGACGGCACCCCATCCATCCATCCGTCCATCCGTCCTCCCCCCTCCTCGCGACCCCAGCGCTCGCTCCTTAGGTGAGCGATTTCGCGGAGGAGTTCCGCAGCATGCGGCTGATGCTCCACACCCTGGGTGCCTCGCGCGCCATGTCAGGGAGCGCCGGCTAATCTTTTTGGGGACCTCGCCTGGCTTTGCACCATTCGGACGTGTACATCTCTCCCCGGCGAGAACCATCGAGGAGCATGTTGGATCATCGATCGAGAAAATCGCACGAAACCGAAATGCATGGGGAATGGACGTCCGAGCGATGGCAAGCTGGCCTTCCCCCGACGTGCTTGGGGAAGCTGGAAAGGCAAGTGTCTAGGGCCAGCAGCAGTGGCTGGTTGCCCTTCGGTTTCCCCAGCCATGGCCAGGCCTCCCATCTGTTTCGGCTTGGTCACAGTCCCAGCAAGCTTTTCCAGCCCTGGCCACTTCCACTAACAGAGTTTCGTTTCCCCTCTCCACTATGTTCAGCCTCCTGCACGCAGAAGAAAAATTGCGATGAGGCACCTCGGATTCGGGAGTTGTAAGAGGTTCACGACGGATCTTTCTGTTCCTTTTTGGGGGCCAAGAATTATCACGGATTGGCACAGCTCGAAGAATGCCACAAAAGCATGGTGTTGCCAGTCCACTGTTCTTGACGTCGGATCTCGGGTGTTGTCAAGAGGTGGTTCAAAAGGAAGCGGAGGAACGGGCTTCGGAGGATGAAGAGGAGGTGGGGAAGAGCAGGGGACGGGGACGAGGCGAGACGTAACTGCGCAGGTCAGAGTCTCCAATCCCAAGCCTAAGAAGTCGAGACTTGAAAGGCGAAGGTCGAATAATGACGATGGTTGTAGCTGACTTGAAATTCCTTGAGTCCAAGTGTTTGTGTGGTCACCTCGTTCCTGCACTACTCGCCTCAGAGCACTTCCTGCTCAAGTTCAGGCCTGTGCTCGGGCCTGCACTGGGGCCAACATTCAGCAAATGGGGGGAACCATGCTCGTGCACGCGACTTATATACTCGACGGCGAGCTCAGGTGGGATGTCCAGAGGGGGCGCGCCTTCTCAGAAGGTTCGGAAGGCCCCTGGCCGCTGAGAGTCAAGCATCACACCCTGGCAGAAGACCCCAACCAGCTCTGCACCGGCGGAGCGAGGGGCATAGACGGAGACGCCTCGAGCGTTCAGGCCGACAACGGGAGACAGCGGAAGACAGTGAGAGATTGAGAGACAACGGGAGGCCACGGGAGACGACTAGAGAGGACGGCAGATGACGCGGGACAGCGGGAGACGATGTGGCGCCCCACTGTTTCCAGGCCCGGCGACAGCGGGAGACAACGGAAGACAGTTTAGAGAGACATTGGGAGACAATGGGAGACAACAGGAGAGGACGGCAGATCACGGGAGACAGCGGGAGACAATATGGCGCCCCACCGATTCCACAGGCCCGCCGATCTTTGCACTTGGGCCTCTTAGACGCATGATGCAGGACCCTCACGCCAGCTGCTTGGGGAATACTGCGTCGGAAGGCGACTTTTCTGAGCTGGATTTGTCATTCCGGTCTCGGTGCAATTTTGGTAAATCAGATCGATTTGGAGGTCGTGACGTGCTGGTCATCGCGCGATGTGCCGAGCCGGGGGGCAGGGCCGAGGCGTCTGTGGTCGTTTTTGTTGTTCATTGTTTTGCCGATCGGCGCGGGCCCTCCCACCCGCCCTCTCCCACCCCCCTCTTGGGCGTAGATCTTGGCTGCTTTGGGCGCCTGTTTCGAGCAGGCGGAGCCTCCCCCATGATGGACGCACTGCTGCAAAGAGTCGCACTGCGCAGAGGTCCGGAGCCAGATCATCCCCCCTCCCAACCCCTTTCTCCCAATGTCGAAACGCACTTGTGCAGAGTGCAGGCGAGCACGAGGTGAGGCTGCAAAGCCGACTGCGCAGGCTGCCTGTAGGAGCGCCCGGCGTCAGCCGTGATCGCCGCGAACGGCCTCGACCGATGTTTCACCTGTCAGTCGAGGACGAGGACGAGGAGGAGGAGGAGGAGGAGGAGGAGCGACGCACGGGGGCGCCCTCCGTCCGCACCCCTCGTTCCGTTGAGAGCGGTGGATCGGCGCGACGCGCTCCTTCGTGGGTGTGGTCTTCAAGGGGCCCCCGTCGAGGTCTTGGCCCGCCGGTCGAGACCCCCCGGGCCAGCCAGACGAGAGAGGCCCCTCCTTGGGGCGAGGGCCCGGCTCCGCCGTGGAGCCACGGCGGGCCGAGGCCCCGAGCGTGAGCGCGCAGCTCCAGGAGGTCCGCGCGGAGCGTCGAAGACTGTGCAGACCCAGCCGTGCAGGCCTCACGCCCGGCGCCGCCGAGCCTGAACGGGGGAGCCCGAGGCGTCTGGGAGGCAAGGATAAAGCAGGGCTAGGATCGGGATAAATCGCTCCAAAGCGTTCCGGAGCGCTCTCAGAGCGTTCTGGAACGCTCTGGAGCGGCCGCGGCGCCCAATACATCCTCCAAACCCGCCGATTCTCAGAGATTTCGAGTTATCCCGATCCGATTTTGTCCCGATCTTCGCGTCGTTTTAAAGGAATCGAAGGGGAAAGTTTCTCCCAGGCCCCAGGGAGGGGAGGCCACCACCCCCGGGACCCCCCTGGGGGCTCCCCCGCCACCCCCCCCCCCTCCCGCGGCGAAGAAGGGGTGTCCTTTCGATTCGATGACGACGCTGCTCGATTTCTCTTTGGCTGGGACGTTTGAAAAGGAGGGCCCACGGACAGGGACAGGGGGGGAGCGGTGACGGCGACAACGACGACGACGACCACGACCACGACCACCACCACCACCACCACGATCACCACCACGACCACAACTACGACCACGACCACGACCACGACGACCACGACGACCACGCCTACGACGACGACGACGACGACGACGACGACGACAACGAAGACCACTCAGACGGAAAAGCCGATCACGAAAGCCGAGAGGGTCCGCTGATTTTTGTGTTGTTAATTATTCTTCGACAGATATTGGATCCTGTGCTAGTTGGTTCCGTAATTACGCAGGGATGGCTGGTGCAGACGGCCCATCGTAACGTCCGTGGCCTCGGCCCGCTAGGACTTCACGGTGAAGCCGTTCGGTCTCTCTCCAGCCAGATGTCTGCTTCGCACTGCGCGCGAGCTCGGCTGCGTGATGCAGTGACCGGCGCGCCCCCAGGCGCCAGTGGCAGCGTGGAGCAGGCCGCCGCCCACGCCGCAGCACCGCTTGTCTCCTCCATCTCCTCCTCCTCCTCCTCCTCCTTCTCGTCCTCCTTCTCGTCCTCCTCCTCCTCCTCCTCCTCCTCCTCCTCCTCCTCCTCCTTCTCCTCCTCCTCCTCCTCCCTCTCCTCACTCCTCATCCCCCCCCTCCTCCCTCCCGCTCCTTCTCCTCCTCACTTCTCTTCCTCTCCCACCTCATCCTTCCTCGAACATTCGTTTGAAAATTCGCAAGGGTTTCACTGATGGAGGGCGGCTCTTTTTAGAAATGTGGCTCTCGCTTTAGAGCCGCGAGCAATCGCTTTCTAATAGAGTGTGCAGGAGCTTCACGCTTGGAGGGCGGGTGGTTTTCTACATGTGGGTGTCGTTTTAGCACTGACAATAGTTTCTCGAATGGAGGGCGGTTTCTTTTCAGAACGTGGCTCTCGCTTCAGCGCCGCGCGCATCCTTCGTAAAGTTTTTACAGTTTGCTGTTTTTTTTGTCCGCTGACGTCCCAGGAATGGTGCTCCGACTCGAGTTAGGATTTGTCAGGGCGCAACAGTCGCGTTAAATCGTGGTGTTCAAGTCACGGTTCAGGATTCCCAGGACCTAAAAGTAAAGTAGGTTGGTTCGCGGCGTTGAAGTCCCAGGAGTGATGTATTCGCACGATTGAGGATTCCGAGACGGTTGTCTTCCAACGGGGCATTTCCAGCATTGAAAAGAAGGAATTGTGAACAGGGAATTTCGAGGGAGGGTTTATTTCAGCATCGTTGATGCGTCCTGGGATGACGCAGGTTCTCCTCTTCCCTCCTCCTCCTCCTTCCTCTCCTCTTCCTCATCCTCCTCCTCCTCCTCCTCCATTCCTTTTCCGTGCAAATAATGCCTCCCCGTCGCACCCCCAGAAGCGTCGGTAGTGCAGGCCGGGTGTTTCGCCTGATGCGTCCTCGCCGTTTCATTTTGAAGTTTGGGTTTCGCAAGAGCTTCACGGATGGAGAGCGGGAGGTTTTCAACATGTGGTTCTCGCGTTAGCGCCGCGCACATTCATCTTCAAAGCTTGTAACAGCTTCACGGATGGAGGGCGGGCGGTTTCAACATGTGGTTTTCGTTTAAGCGCCGCGCATATTCGTCTCAACAGTTTGCAGCAGCTTCAAAGATGGAGGGCGGGTGACATTTAAATTGTGGTTGTCGCCTTAGCGCGAAGCGCATTCATATTCGAAGTGTGGAAGAGTTTCTCGGATGGAAGACGGGCGGTTTTCAAGATCTGGCTCTCCGTCTCAACAGTTTGCAAAAGTTTCAAAGGTGGAGGCCTGCTCCATTTCAAAATATGGGCCTCGCCTTTGCGAGTTCGCAGAGGTTGCAAGGATCCGTATGGTCCAAGTCCGAGGAGATGCATTCTGGCACGATTTCGGACTGTCCTTTCGTAGCGGTGACGTTGACTCGCGGTGTTGAAATCCTTTTGAATTGTTTTTCTGGCAAGGTTCTGGATTGGCAGGGCGATACAGTCATGTTAATCCTTGGCGTTGAAGTCCAAGGAATTGTGTTCTGGCACACTAGAGGACTCTCAGCCAGTTGTCTTCTAATTGACCACTTCCTGCAATGAAAAGAAATGCTCTTAGGGAAGAGGTAATGTTAAGGGGGAGTATATTGCAACATCGTTGATGCGTCTTGGGTTTGCACTGATCCTCACTATTCCTCCCCCCTCCTCCTCGTCATCATCATCATCATCAGCATCATCAGCATCAGCATCAGCATAATTATCCTCCTTCTCCTCACGTTTCCCCTTCCTCCTCCTTCCCTTTTCCTCCTCCTCCTTCTCTTCTTCCTCCTTCCCCTCCGTAGCCATTTTGGCTCAAGATGTTTGCACGAGAGGGCTTCCGCGCCCTCGTGCCTGAACGGGATAGTTCTGTTCCCCGAGCCAGTCTTT